ACCTGAACAGAACATTATAATAACCTGAACAGAACATTATCAGAACCTGAACAAAACATAATTAGAACCTGAACAGAACATAATTAGAACCTGAATAGAACAAAATAATCAAGACCTGAACAGAACATTATCAGAACTTGAACAGAACATTATCAGAACCTGAACAGAACATTATCAAAACCTGAACAGAACATTATCAGAACCTGAACAGAACTAAATAATTAGAACCTGGACAGAACATAATTAGAACCTGTACGTAACATAATTAGAACCTGGACAGAACAAAATTAGAACCTAGACAGAACAAAATTAGAACCTGAACAGAACATAATTAGAACCTGAACAGAACATAATTTGAACCTGAACAGAACATAATTTGAACCTGAACAAAACATTATCAGAACCTAAACAGAACATAATTAGAACCTGAACAGAACATTATCAGAACCTAAAGAGAACATAATAACAACCTGAACAGAACATAGTTAGAACCTGAACAGAACATAATTAGAACATGAACAGAACATAATTATAACGTGAACAGATCATAATTAGAACCTGAACAGAACATAATAACAACCTGAAAAGAACATAATTAGAATCTGAACTGAACATAATTAGAACCTAAACAGAACAACATAATTAGAACCTGGACAGAACCTAATTAGAACCTGAACAGAACATAATTAGAACCTAAACAGAACATTATCAGAACCTAAACAGAACATAATAAGAACCTGAACAGAACATAATTAGAACCTGAAAAGAACATAATAAGAACCAGAACAGAACATAATTAGAACCTGAACAGAACATAATTAGAACTTAAACAGAACACAATAAGAACCTGAAAAGAACATTATCTTAACCTGAACAGAACGTTATCAGAACATAAACAGAACATAATTAGAACCTGAACAGAACATAATAAGAACCTGAACAGAACATAATTAGAACATGGGCAGAACATAATTAGAACCTGGACAGAACATTATCAGGACATAATAAGAACCTAAACAGAACATAATAAGAACCTGGACAGAACATAATTAGAACCCAAACAGAACATAATTAGAACCTGAACGGAACATAATCAGAATCTAAACAGAATATAATTAGAACCTGAACAGAACCTTATTAGAACCTGAACAGAATATAATTAGAACCTGAACAGAACGTTATCAGAACATAATAAAAACCTAAACAAAATATAATTAGAACCTGAACAGAACATAATAAGAACCTGAACAGAACATTATCAGAACCTAAACAGAACATAATAAGAACCTGAACAGAACATAATAAGAACCTGAACAGAACATAATTAGAACCTGAACAGAACATAATTAGGACCTTAACAGAACATAATAAGAACCTGAACAGAACATTATCAGAACCTAAACATACATAATTAGAACCTGAACAGAACATAATTAGAACCTGAACAGAACATAATTAGAACTTGAACAGAAAAATATGATTAGAACCTGAACAGAACATTATCAGAACCTAAACAGAACATTATCAGAACCTAAACAGAACATAATTAGAACCTAAACAGAACGTAATTAATAAGAACCTGGACAGAACATAATTAGAACCTAAACAAAACATAATTAGAATCTGAAGAGAACATTATCAGAACCTAAACAGAATATAATTAGAACCTGAACAGAACCTAATTAGAACCTGAACAAATCATTATCAGAACATAATAAGAACCTAAACAAAACATAATTAGAACCTGAACAGAACATAATTAGAACCTGAACAGAGCCTATTTAGAACCTGAACGGAACCTAATTAAAACCTGAACAGAACCTAATTAGAACCTGAACAGATCCTAATTAGAACCTGAACAGAACCTAATTAGAACCTGAACAGAACATAATTAGAACCTACGGAACCTAATTAAAACCTGAACAGAACCTAATTAGAACCTGAACAGATCATAATTAGAACCTGAACAGAACATAATTAGAACCTAAACAGAACATTATCAGAACCTAAACAGAACATAATTAGAACCTGAACAGAACATTATCCGAACCTAAACAGAATATAATTAGAACCTGAACAAAACCTAATTAGAACATAAACAGAATATAATTAGAACCTGAACAGAACATAATTAGAACCTGAACAGAACATAATTAGAACCTGAACAGAACATTATCAGAACCTAAACAGAATATAATTAGAACCTGAACAAAACCTAATTAGAACCTGAACAGAACATAATTAGAACCTGAACAGAACATAATTAGAACCTAAGCAGAACATAATTAGAACCTGAACAGAACATAATTAGAACCTAAACAGAACATTATCAGAACCTAAACAGAACATAATTAGAACCTGAACAGAACATTATCAGAACCTAAACAGAATATAATTAGAACCTGAACAGAACCTAATTAGAACCTAAACAGAACATAATTAGAACCTGGACAAAACATAATTAGAACCTAAATAGAACAACATAATTAGAACCTGGACAGAACATAATTAGAACCTGAACAGTACATTATCAGAACCTAAACCGAATATAATTAGAACCTGAACAGAACCTTATTAGAACATAAACAGAACATAATTAGAACCTGAACAGAACATAATTAGAACCTAAACAAAAAAAAAATTAGAACCTGGACAGAACATAATTAGAACCTAGGGGGGGGAGGGGGGGGAGGGCCTTTTGTGCCAGAATGATTACAAAAGGGATAAAGAAAGTAGATAAGTCATATTTTTTTTTTATTAGCCACTGATGAAGGGGCCACAATTCGACCCGCCAACCTTTATGATCGTTATGAAAGTTCAACAACGATGATGAAGGGAGGGGGGTGTTATCAAATGCCCCCCCCCCCTCCAAGCCCTATGATGTATTAGGGTTAAAGCAACGAAGTTTGACAAACTAAACTAAAATCTAGTTTTCTCATAAACTATCTTGAAAGTCTGGTTTTCTCATAAACTAACCTGTGAGTCTGGTGTTCTCATAAACTAACCTGTGAGTCTGGTGTTCTCATAAACTAACCTGTGAGTCTGGTTTTCTCATAAACTTACCTGTGAGTCTGGTGTTCTCATAAACTAACCTGTGAGTCTGGTTTTCTCATAAACTAACCTGTGAGTCTTTTGTTCTCATAAACTAACCTGCAAGTCTAGTTTTCTCATAAACTAACCTGCAAGTCTAGTTTTCTCATAAACTAACCTGTGAGTCTGGTATTCTCATTAACTAACCAGTGAGTCTGGTTTTCTCATAAACTAACCTGTGAGTCTGGTTTTCTCATAAACTAACCTGTGAGTCTGGTGTTCTCATAAACTAACCTGTGAGTCTGGTTTTCTCATAAACTCTGCTATAAGAATCCCCCAGATTCCTGCAAACAAACCTTTCAGTAAATACGTTCACACAAATTGTAAACCTGCCCCCCTCCCCCTTAAGAAAATAATACATTTCCCCCAAAGGCTGAATTTCAAAATTTAATATTTTTGATTTTTATTTACAAAGCTCTCACCTGCAATACCGTAGAATACTTTAGATATTTCTTCAATATATCCATATTTCTCCACTAATATTCCACTATCAAATATATTCAATATATCCATATTTCTCCACTAATATTCCACTATCCAATATATTCATTATATCCATATTTTTCCACTAATATCCCAGTATCCAATATATTCAATATATCCATATTTCTCCACTAATATCTCACTATCCAATATATTCAATATATCCATATTTTTCTACTAATATCCCAGTATCCAATATATTCAATATATCCATATTTCTCCATTAATATCCCAGTATCTAATATATTCAATATATCCATATTTCTCCACTAATATCCCACTATCCAATATATTCAAACTATCCATATTTCTCCACTAATATTCCACTATCCAACATATTCAATATATCCGTATTTCTCCAGTAATATCCCACTATCCAATATATTCAATTTATCCGTATTTCTCCACTAATATCCCACTTTCCAATATATTCAATATATCCATATTTCTCCACTAATATACCACTATCCATCATATTGAATATATCCATATTTCTCCACTAATATTCCACTATCCAATATATTCAATATATCCATATTTCTCAACTAATATCCCACTATCCAATATATTCAATATATCCATATTTCTCCACTAATATCCCCGTATCCAATATATTCAATATATCCATATTTCTCCACTAATATCCTAGTATCCAATATATTCAATATATCCATATTTCTCCACTAATATCCCACTATCCAATATATTCAATATATCCATATTTTTCCACTAATATCCCAGTATCCAATATATTCAATATATCCATATTTCTCCATTAATATCCCAGTATCCAATATATTCAATTTATCCATATTTCTCCACTAATATCCCAGTATCTAATATATTCAATATATCCATGTTTCTCCACTAATATCCCACTATCCAATATATTCAATATATCCATATTTCTCCACTAATATCCCAGTATCCAATATATCCATATTTCTCCACTAATATCCCACTATCCAATATATTCAATATATCCGTATTTCTCCAGTAATATCCCACTATCCAATATATTCAATATATCCGTATTTCTCCACTAATATCCCACTATCCAATATATTCAATATATCCATATTTCTCCACTAATATACAACTATCCATCATATTGAATATATCCATATTTCTCCACTAATATCCCACTATCCAATATATTCAATATTTTTATATTCATTTTTTTAATTATATTTTTGAAATTTAAAATAATGCTGTTAAACATCCACCGATCCTTCCCAAAACCATTTATTAATTCTATTCACTATTTCTGGACTATTAGATTAAAAAGTTTAATAATTTCAAATGAATACAGTTGAATAGAAGTTAGTTATTAATTTAACTTGTTTTACATAGATTGCACGGTACACTCAGTCACTGCCAGGCCTTGAAACAAAACTTTAAAGTAAAATGTAAAGGAAATCAACCTTGCTCTGAATAAATGCTCTTTGTCTCTTGGGGATGGAACTTATTAATTAATTAACGGCATAATGGGACAGTACACCAATTGAACCAATTAATGTGTTCTAGGGCCTATGGCATTTCATTTAGGAGGGGAGGAAAGTCAGCCACAACAATTTCTCGTCCGAGCCACCTCGGAATCCTCGTCCTTTCACGGTTATGTGCTTTACAGTTTCCAATTCTCGAAGACAAAACTATTTTTTTTTTAAATCTGGTCACGTTAGGGCATAACATATGGATGGACTAAAGTAATGCAATGATTACATCATGTTATAATCTTCAAACCCATGAGAATGATGTCAAACTTTATTTGGGTAAAACTTAAATCTCTTCTGCCGCCGTAATGGCTAACCTTCGCGATATGAAATAAATAAAAACTCAAGGGTTTTCATTATAATTATAACGAATAAGATTGAAGTTCTATAAACTCGGAATAATTTGCGGCATTTTACAACGGGAGTATCTGAAAATGCGCGTGAAAAATGTGAACATTTTTAAGAACATTAAACTTGAGAACTTTAATTCAATTGAAATATATTTTTCCGATTTACAAAAATTTAATATTTCATTTATGCTCTAACGTGGTCCGATTCATAAAAAAATAGCTTAATCCGGGAGGATTACACTTTATAAAAAGGACGTGGATTTCGAGGTGACTCGAAAGAAAAAATGAGAATGTGGCTCGGACGAGAAATTGTTGTGGTTGGCCTTCCTCCCCTTCATATAATCTTCAAATTATTTGTTCAAAATGAATGTTCCAGAATCTTTGCTTGTTAAAATAATTTTTTTTAAAGACATTTTTTCTTAGTATTAGTTGAAACTTAAAATGGCAAACTAAACATTAAGAAAAAAATCACTAAATGCATGCTTGTTAACATTATTTTTTTTGGCATTTATTTCTGCCCTTAGAACTAATTCAAACTTTGAAAAGCATAAAAACATAAAGAAAGAAAACGAATCCACTAAATGCATTCTTGTTAAAATTGTTTTTTAGACTTTTATTTTTGTTCGTATTTTAGTTCAAACTTTACGAGACTCAATAAACATTAAGTTGAAAAACTTCGAAACAACTCATATTCTGAAAGTCGTAAAAAATCAATTAATTTTAAACTTTACAACAAAGACTATATTTGTGTGTGTACCTAAGTTTTAACTTAAAGGGACTGTAAAGGAAAAATGTAAGGGGGTATAGACCAAAGATAATATATATATAGATATGCAGGCAGGTAGAAACCTCCTTCCTAAATTGCTTGTAGCAGACAACTAATTTTTGAACCTCTGAGAGAAGGTGCAAGGAGAGACATCTATAGCAAATTGATTACTTTCTATATTCCTTTCTCCCCTTGCTGCCATCTGAAGGAAATACGCATTTGTGTTATATAAACATACAGTACTCGTATTGCATCCTGTATAGTTCAAGTGTTGCTATCTGGACCTGTTAGACCAATAAAATTAAATTTCAAGGTAACACAAACATACAGTACGCGTTTTGTTTATGTTATGATCAGATCAGTTGTAATTTGTTTAGACTCGATGTACTTTTATAGTCATAATTTTTATTTAAATTGCGTTAATTTACGTATGCCATTCAGTACAACTTGCACATTTAAACTTTGTCTAGTCAAATTCCTACCTCAGTTTTATTTGCATTGATTAATTTGTTTCATTAAGTACAATATGCAGTATACATTGTTGATACTATAGTACGCATTTAGTGTTATCACGCATAAACAAAGTGATAAATTAGCAACAATCCAGAGGATAAAATGCCATGCGTACGACAGAGATGGTGCTGTTTGCACCTTTTCTCAAGACCTCAAAATTTATACCTGCCTGCATATCTATATATATATTATCTTTGGTATAGACTGAAACCTAAGCATTTCAGAAGTTGATCGAAACCCATAAGACTTCTATCTGATGTTCCTGTCTCGAGAAATTGATATTAAACTATTCAAATTGATACGAAAATTTGTATACATACAATTTTGTATTAAAATCGTAGGTTTAAACAGATCATATTCAGCAAATACGCAACCTATATAAAAACGACGATTTCCCAGAGGAGCCTGAAAAAACTTAGGTTTTCTCCTATCATTGTTTGAATTTAATAATTTTTCCTTTTTTATAGATATAACTGATAATTTAATTGCTACGCCCGTTTACACGTGACCAGAACTCCTTCCAATAGCAGTGCAGTATCATTGTCACGTGATACAAACGGAGACAGGTCACTTGTCTGTTTGTATCCAATACCCGTCAAAACGGCTGACCGATTGGGCCCAAAATTTTTTTGGGACCTTGCGTGACCCTAGGGAAGGTTTATGAATGATCGAATTTTTAATAATTTGCGTCTGAAAAAATTAGATTTTCGAAATCTATTCTATATTTTTATATATTTGGGGGAATAGTCAGGAATATATAAAAAAAACAGATAAACATCCTCAAACACAATGTTTCATGGACCAATTGACATGAACAAAAATTCTATGTAATTAAGCTCTTTCGCTCATATATGTATGTATGTCAGCTATAGCTGGCCAAACGGCTGGACCGAATGGGCTGAAATTCTTAAAGGGAACCTTTGAGTAACTCTGCGCCGGATTACAATCCTGCAAATTCGTTTCTCTTAGTACAGCAATTTTTGATACATAAGCTTCATCTAAAATTGTCAGGCATATTCCCTTTTGAACTTTAAAACGCGCCTGGTACGAGTGAGCGCAAAATGAATCGAGAGCTCGTGAAGGAGCGGTGGACGAGCAGAGCGTGGCACCAAGTCTTCATCGGAGCCTGTAAGGCCTTTAAGCCTTCACTTCCATTCGATCCGGCATAGCAATAACTAAATTGAATTTCAACTTAAATTTTATTTTCAGATAATATGCAATGGGAGATCATTTATACTTGCGCTTCCATCTGTAAAATCAATAAGTATTCTACTTATAAATTTTATACATAACCTGGGGGTAGTATATGCTAAAAAACTCGATTTTTTTCTTCAAAAATCAAATACTTAAAAAAAATTTTAAATGATTAACGGGCAACGCCGGGCACCTCAGCTTATAAATACATAATATATAAATTTGAATATATCCCTGGCTGTTGCCCCAACGAAGCCTGTTCCAAGGAGAAGAGAACCAGCAATACCAGAACTAATGTTATCATAACCTCTGCAGTACATAAATGTGTTCTGTAAACAAACTTTTATTCACTTTTAAGAGAATGTTTACCACGCATTTTTACTCACAATTTAATGATCTTTGGTATAAAAAGTTTCTTATTTGTTCCGAGGCAAATAAGTAACATTTTATACCGACAAAGCAGGTTTCCCTTTTTATTTTGCGGATATTTATAAAAAAAATCGCACATTTTCATAAAACTTGAATTGAATAATTTCTATTTATGCAACTGCATTGTTTCATGGCCGAGATTTTATTTTTTTGGTTTCTTTAAGGTTCAAATTCAATAAAAACACAATATATAAATTTATTCATTCAATCTGGTTGAAAAAGGGGCATTTTTTTTATCAAAATCCGCGAAATGTAAAAAGAGCCAGGTATAAAATGTTACTGATTTGCCTCAGAAGAAATAAGAAACTTTGTAAACCCGAGATCATGAAATTAAGAGTAAAAATCCGGGAAAATTCTCCCAAAATTGAATAAATTTCCTATATCCAGCTGGCTTGTGTTATTATTTGGGAAATTATGTTTTTTGTTCAGTTTTTTTATTTATTTTTGTTTTCGGTTTAAATTCAAGATTTTCAATGACTCACTAGTCACTACGTTCTTGATTTAAAAATCTTAAATTTAAACCTTAAATAAACGAAAAAAGTAAAAATCCTGGCCAAAAAAAGCATATTGTCCCGCATGATAACACACGACCGTTGCATACATAGATATAATAAGTCTGAAATGTATATTCAGAGCTGAAAACTTTAGGATGGTGGATATCAAGATTAATGCTTAAACTCCTGGTCTTACTAAATCCAAGATTATTTTAAAACGCATTCGATATCCAAGAAAGAAGTTAAAAATTTAACCAATCAGCGCGTCATGTTAAGATGTACTCTTTAACTTTTGAAAACTCATCTTTAACTTTGTCTTTTGAAGAGGATTATAAGAAGAAAATTAAAAGTGTGTACATTGGTTTATCAGATTAAGCGATCGTGATTAAGGATATCTTATTCTAAATTTGTCAGCTCTGTTAATTCAAATAGCTTAAGTTTAATAGTCATCATTCAAATATGAAGGCATACGAAAATTTGAGCTCTTGGCCTTAACTCAATTCCTTTTATGCTAGTTAAAATCTATATTACCAATGAAGTGCACGAACTTCAATTTACAAAATAACTTTGTAAATTTTGATTATCGTGTACAGATAATGATTCTAGTTCTAATAGATTTTCATATCGAAATAATACGTATTTTTGGGTAGGAATTAAGAATAATAGACGAACATGAATTGGTTAATGGATAAAGGGATTAAATAAACATTTTTGAAAAAAAAAACATATTTTTCCTTGAGCACATTAACTGACTTTAAACAACAGATTATCTTATTTAAAATTTTTGGCCATTAAAATCTAGAAAAATATTGCATTAAAAAACTTCAAAATTCGAGCACTATTATTATTAATTAAATGAGTTTATTCGATATTAAAAATTAATTAAAGATGGTTTTGTGAGATGATAACTATATTTAAGTCCAATATTTGGCGTTTTTTTACAAGGACTCAATTTTTTCTCGTTAATCTGTTATTTCCTGAGTTGTGTAGAAAAAGCGTTAAAAAATCCAACTGCTCCACCTTAACAAAATAATTAATTATCAAATTAAAAAAAAATTAAATAACAAGATAATTAACAATCATTCAGCAGCAATATATATATAGACTGCTCAGTAGTAAGGTAACATATATAGACTGTTCAGTAGTAGTAAGGTAACATATATAGACTGTTCAGTAGTAAGGTAACATATATATATAGACTGTTCAGTACTAAGGTAACATATATATATAGACCGTTCAGTACTAAGGTAACATATATATATACTGTTCAGTAGTAAGGTAACATATGTATAGACTGTTATGACTTGTCCACTTAAAAGTATTGCTAAAGCTCGGGAAAAATTAAATCTAAAAAGGCTAAAATTTCTGTCCAAAAACTTTATAACACTCCGAACCAAAATAACAATAACAGTGTTATAAATAGTTAGATGCATTATCACACACCCCTGACCCTTTAGTAAAAGTAAATTCAACCAAAAGTCTGACTGCGTCAACCTTGTTGCACCGGCTATTCCTATTGAGTGTCTGCTTTATCTACCCAATGTCCGGGCGATACAGCACAAACAGGGACCGGAAAGGTTGACCCGACTCGGAAATTCAAATGTACTACGACTGTCCGTGTTATATCTTTTGTTATGTTTTAATCAAAATCTAATTATATTTTTGTGTGGGAAGGAAAGAAGAGATAAACCTTGATAATCTAAATTAATAAATTAATTAGATGATGCTTATAAACTAAAAATATAAATGCAACATTTATTTTTTTTAAATGGAATCACAGACAGGGTCTTTTTTATAGTTTTTTTTAAATCACTCAAAATTAGAACTCAAAATTAAGATGTAAACCATATGAAATATAAGGTTTATAGCATAGATTAATCAACAATACAAGATACAGGGTGTCCCACGAAACATGACAGTATGCAGGACGACTTGAATGTCGTCTTGATTTTTGATATAATTTGCTGCGTTTATTTGTCAACCTAATTTTAGAAGTAAATTTCTAGAGATAATAATCCCAAAATTTCCCTTGTCCTGCCATTTCCAAAATGTGGTCTGCCATTTTTGTGCTTTCAATATTGCCCGAGATATGAAGAATTTCGTTCAGATTTCGACAATTTTGCTTTTAGTAAACAAAATTGAAATCTGAACCAAACTCTTTATATCTCCGGTAATATTGAAAGCACAAAAAACGTAGACCACTTTTAGGAAATGCCAGGGCTAGGAGAATTATGTGATAATTGTTTCAAGAATCATACATTTTAAAGTAGATAGAAGACTAAATGTCACAAAGAAATTCAAATACCAAAGACGACTTTCAAGTCGTCTTGCTATTGTCATGTTTCGTGGGACACCCTGTAGTTAACTCAGTATGTATTTAGAAAAACTTGGAAATTTATTATAATATATTTTTATATCCTTATCATATTGATATATTTTATATCCTTATCAGAATACATGTGGTATTAATATAACTTTATATAACAAAATGTCACACTAGAAAGATTATTTTAATCAATTTGAAATTTTTATTCATGTAAATATTTTTTTGCCCGTTAGGAAGAATAAAAAAGTTTTTTTTTGAAAGAACCATGCGTTAAAAAACAATGAGTTTTTATCTTTTTTTTAATTTGTTATTTAAATAAAAAAACTTGTATTTGTTACAGTGAAACCCTTAATAACGAATACATCGAAAGAATTCATCAAATGTCGTATTCATCACTTTCTGATAATGAAATGTTGCAGATATTTAGTTTTTTAATTAAATGAATATATATGGAACTCTTTAAAGCTGTTCCCGCATATTCATGGTTATTTATTCATTTTCGCAACTACTGAAATTTACGTAATATAGTATAAAACTCATTGAAAAATTGTCAAAACAACATTTGATAAATTCTTCCGATGTATTCGTTATTAAGGGTTTCACTGTACTAAAACAAACTCACCTATAACTAGAAAAAGAACCAAGAAAGGAATATTACACATCATTGTTTTTAAGATTATCAAATAATCCTGAAATTAAACGACTTTATTAAACAAAAAATGTTGTTAATTTTTGTTTTTACATCATAATTTCAATTACCAAATTTGATGAAAAACAAAACAAAAATAAACTGGTTTTTAGACTTACATAAGCTTGAGAATTGGCTTTAAAATTTGTAAACATTTTTTATGAAAAATAACTAATAGAGGGTAATGATCATTAATATTATTTTTATTATCATTTCCAAAATTCAATTTTACCTTAAATGTAGTTTTTTTCTCTGCTTCTAGTGCCAGCTTGGAACTATTATTAATTAATTATAAAAAAATTGATTTACTGATGCAGCATTGCGCTAGGGAGGGACCCACCGGCCGCCATGAGAATTAAGAAAACAAATTCTGAAATGAATTTGATTTGATCGGTTAAAATTCATTTATTTAGTTAATTTATAAAACAATAATTTTGCATTCCAAGATTTTTTCTAAACATAAACAATTTTTCAAAAAAAAGGTTAAATGCTTAAATGAAAGATTTAACAAATCAAATCGAATTCACTTTCTAATTTGTTTTCTAGCTTCCTTTTTGGGTAAAATTTTGATTTAAAGTTTTAGTTTAAGAGTTAATCTGCAGATTAACTGTTGAAGCAAATCTTTAAAAAATGTTGTTGTTGATCCGTCTTTAATCTTTTCTTTTTATTAAAGGAATTGAGTTTTTGTCACAAACTAAAATATGATAATCCTTAAATCTTAGCAATTTGACTTCGCAAACCTTGGCCATCTTAAATTTACATTATTTGATCTTACAAAATGTATATTTTAAAATATCAAAAGTCTAAATTGGGTTACAAAGATATGGCGATAAAAATAGAAGATTTGAGTTTGTAGCAAATATTTATGTTGAGCTTGTATTGTATGTTGAATTTTAGTCAAGCATAATATTGAATATTTGATTTTATATTCAGCAGCACAGTTATTGTCTTTCTGTTAATATTACAGTGTCAATAAGGCTAAAACATTTAAAAAATTTCAAGAAACAAATATCTAAGATTTCTATATTTTCTTGCTCAAAAAAAATTTTATTGTTTTTTCTAAAAATTAGCAAAATGTTTCTGTACTGTTTAAACATAAATAGTTTTAATTTAATAAAAAAATATGAAAATATGTTGGCATGTTTTAAAAAAGAATTATTTATACAATTTTAACTGGATAAACGAAATAGGTTAAAGTGATGCAACATTACTGATACGACTTTGTGACCTCGTAGCTCCTTTTTTAGATTTTAAGCATAAGTTTGAGAAAAATAAATTTGTAAATTAAATACATGTGTGCACCTCTCAAATCTCAATTATAGTTCTTCAATAATTGGAGATTAAATTATTACTTATAGTTACTCCAGCCGTTTACCAGCGCTTGGTTTAAATTATGTTTTAGATGAAGTACTCGGCGTTTAACGAAGAGCTTTATTATTTTAGATTAATCAATTGATTGAAACATTTAAGATTTTAAATCTACGTCAATTTTACTTTATTCAAACATGACAATCTTAATTTGTAATTTAATGCACGTAGGCCATTCACAGATTCATCCTTCGAGCATCTATACATGAAAACTGAAACTCTAGCGCTACATATTTAACGCTATGGGCTAAAAAATAAATTTGTAAAGGTGTAAATTTAATTATAACAATTCCTAAGGCAGGCAGGAGTAGGAGGATTAGAGCTTGTAACAGCAAAAACGACCAAAATCTAGGTAAATCGAGATATAAGCTTGTAAATTAGTAATCCTCACAGAAAGTAATAATCCGTATATTTTGTGGTCCGATGGGATTAATGAAATTCTTTTAGATATCTCTGAAAGTTACAAAACACAAGTTAGCAATTGGTTTTAAAGGGAGTGATCGGCAATTTATGGTAGTTGAACTGAGATTGCAGTATTGCAGAGAAATTATTTAGCATTCATTTGAGACATGTAACACGTTTTAAAGATCTATAATTACTTAGTTTGAACTCAAAGTCGACGTTCAAAATCATCAATATGGGTGGTACCATACATCTTCTTAACCATAAATTGTGATAAATCTGATAATGAATAAATTATCATATATCAGATAATGAATAAATTATAAATAATCAAATAATAAATAAATTACCATGAATCAGATAATGAATAAATTACCATGAATCAGATAATGAATAAATTACCATGAATCAGATAATAAATAAATGACCATGAAACAGATAATTAATAAATTACTATGAATCAGATAATGAATAAATTACCATGAATATGATAATGAATAAATTACCATGAATCAGATAACGAATAAATTACCATTAATCAGATATTAAATAAATTACCATGAATCAGATAATAAATAAATTACCATAAATCAAATAATAAATAGATTACCATGAATCAGATAATGAATAAATTACCATGAATCAGATAATGAATAAATTACCATGAATCAGACAATGAATAAATTACCATGAATCAGATAATAAATAAATTACCATGAATCAGATAATGAATAAATTACCATGAATCTGATAATAAATAAATTACCATGAATCAGATAATAAATAAATTACTATGAATCAAATATTAAATAAATTACCATGAATTAGATAATAAATAAATTAAAAGTATGTAACATTAGACTAGTTAACAATAACAGATGATAATTTATATCATGAAGATTTAGATTTATCGACTTAACTATTCAATTTGAAATGGCATATTTGATCTCTGCAAACTAGGTAATTTTTAACAATGGTACGGGTATGGTTTATAATGGTTGCCAAGAATAATTTATTAAGTGGATTATCTAGCTTTACCTAGTTTAACTACGTTTCACTAATTACCTGCGTCAAAACAGCAGGGCCAAACCAAACCAAATTCATGACAGGCACATCAGAGGCCTGGAAAATCCGCAATTTACAATTTGCAAAAACCAGTATAACCAGAATGGCCGTCGTACTTTCTCTTTATTTCTGTTAGAAATGACGCAACGGTGAAATTTAAAACTTTTTTGTACGGATATTTGGCTGTAAAAATTGCCAGAAATATGAAAATATCAATACTCCTCAACCATCAGTTTTTTAGTTTCATAAAAAGATGAAAATGACATCAATTAACTTTTTTATCGATCTTTTCTATGCATTAGTCACATTCCATTCAAAATTTAGCCGTACATGATGGAAGAAAAGAAGAAAAGTGCGGAACAAGAAACATAGAAATGTCAATTGTGTGTCACAAGAATATATAAAAAGTTTGCATAACGTACGAGCACTCAATATATTTGCATCACTATCTTCCAATTATTTAAAAAAATATTGTTGAAATTAAAATTCAAAAACAAATGTTAAAAAATACTAAGGTCAAATTGTTCTATTCTTATTATCAAGAGCGGATACAGGATTTCAGTGAAGGGGGTGCAGTTAGTGGCGTAAATAAGGGGGGTTATCGGGGTTAAATGATATTTTTCTAAGGGGGGGGGGTAAACAAATTCTAGGGGGGTAAATAATTCCGCGCGCCGCATTAAACAAAATTTACCCCCCCCCCCCTACAGAATCCTTATTTACGCCCCTGGGGGTGCTAGATTTATTTCGTAACAAAAACATCCAGATTTAGGAACAAAATTTTTTAAAGATAGATATTTTTCCTGTTTTGCACTAGGTTTTCTATCCCTAAAGTGCTGTTGAGGAGCTATTCTGAAATCTCAGGGGGGGTGCGAAGGTCCTGCCGCCCCCCCTGTATCCGCCCCTGCTTATAACTAAACAATTCATGAATGTTCAAAAAAATTGAAAAAGGAAAAAATAACTAAATAAAATATTCACCGTTCTAACGAAGATAGGGGAGCAACCCTGTCCAAGTACTATACCTTAATATTTATATATTATTTATATTGTATTCAGGAATTTAGTAACAAAGAAAATATTTTGTTCTTAATTTTATTTTTCCTCGAAATAAGTCCATTATTAGAATAATATTTCTGTAAAGATTCAACATTTAATAAAAAATATACAAATATGTTGTATACAAAACGAATAAAAAAATATTATGAAATATTTATGAAAAATTTTAATATCTGGATGATTTGTTTGAAATTAAATAGATTTTTATACAATCCGAGTAGTATATTGCACCTTTCTGAATTTGTATGAACACTACGTTCTTCAGTATAAGTCGTATTTAACAATTTTCTCCTTACATACGCAAAAGATAGAAGTAAGATTAGTAGCGATCAAAAGCGATGATTTTTCGTCGTAAGCCTATACCCCCCTTTCATTTTTCGCGAACACTCCCCTTAAAGTTCACCAACTAGCCCAGTATCTTAAAACATGACAGGATTATAAAAAAAAATTAATTATTTTTTGCATGAAATGTTTAATCTTTACAGAAATATCAATAGTTTATTCTTATAAATTCTAATAATGGACTTATAACCCCTTTATTTTTCGCGAGCACTCCTTTTAAGGTGAGCATATAACAATTTTAGTTACTAATAATATAAAGAAATAATTCTAAAGGTTTCTCTCATTTTTATTCCAACTTGAGAATGTTTAAAAAATCAAAGATAATCATAAATCAATAAAAAGTTTTCAGATTTTTCATAAATTTTCTTTGAGGTTCTAAAATCAAAAGACCTGAGCCCGGGATTTAAAAGCTTCAGCTTGGGTCGAAATTCCTTAAACCCAGCTTAAAACCCAATCTAAGATCCAAATTTGACAACAGTTTGCGTCACGTGATTGACAGCTTCGAGATCTTAAGCTTGACCTATGGAGTTAGGCCCAATGAAAATAAAACCAATCGTAGTTGGTTTTAGTGGAAAATAAGACTCAATGTTGTGTCTTGTTCTCATCAAAACCCGGAATGCGCCATGAAAATCCGCCATATAAAATAATAAACCGGTTTTATGAACTCAACAAAATTATATGTAACGTTAATCCGAAAGCCCAAGCTATAAATAAGGCCCAATGGCAGCTTAGACCTGAGTCGTATTTTGCTGAATATTTTAAATCGCGGGCTCTGAAGATGGTTTTTTAATTTTTACCCTCCATTTACCTAAAATGCATATTAATTACCTAGGGGAAGAGACATTGCTAGAACACCCGTAGCAACAATACGCTCCTTCTCTCCAAACCAGTTCTGACTTACCTAAATATTAATTCTCAACAGATATACTTTTTACTTTAAAGAAACCGTTCACTGATTTGGGTAATTTCATGGTAAACTAAACATCTTATTAGCTGTTCCTGTGAAAATATGATAAGTAATAAAGGACAAGGGGGGGGGGGTTGCAATTAACAACCTTCCTCACACCGCCCCCCTTGGCCTTTATTCAGAATAAATATATTAGGGGGGGGAGTTTTAAACACATCAAAATAAATTTCTAGGTTTATACTGTCTGCCCCACGATCTACACTTCCTGACCTATACCCCTCAATCAATTGTCTAACTTATTTCTAACTACCCATAAACCAATTATGTTATAAAAACTAATATTAAATTTAAAGGAATTGAGTCTTTGCCACAAACTCTGATTTTCCAATTCCTATATCTTTGCAGCCAAACCCAATGAAGTAGACCTTCGATATTTCAAACTATGAATTCTGTTAGATCAAATAATCTAAGTTAAAAACATCAATGGTTTAGACTAACAGGTTCCAAATATATAGGGATCAGAAAATCTGAGCTTGTGGCAATGCAAAGACTCAATTCCTTTGAATTTTATCTTAGTTTGGTATTAATTAAACGTAATTTCAACGCTTCACACAAACTTTAAACAGGCATAGTGTTGAAATAAGTCTTTTAAACATAACTTTACTTTTATAGATGCTAATCTCATGCCATTGTTAAATGTTCTTTAAATATTGTGCATATATTATGTATTTACTCTTTATATCATATGTGCAGTGATACAATCAGATGAGTGCATTTGATGTTGTTACAAAGCAAATAGTTTCACAAGGAAGTAAAAAAAGCATTTATTAAGTAAAAATAAAGTTTAAAGGTAGACATCCTATCCTCGAGTTTTCTTGTTCTTACTGTATACCAGAACAGAAATTGAAATAGAATTAATGAAATCGGTTTAACAAATAGTTTTGATAAATATAATAAATATTTGCATGTTTGTCTGCCTGTTTGTATCCAATAAACGTCAATTACGAATTATACGATCGGGCCTATTTTTTGTGGTAACCCACACAACCCAAAAGAAGGATTAAAGAACAACAAAGTTGAACAATTTTGCCCGGGGAAAAGTGTCGACAATCATTATTAAAAAATTGGGCCGAATTAAATAGAAAAATCCGCCCAAATTTGAGGTCACTTTCAGAGCAATAGTTAAAAGCTAAAATTGCTCTAGAACTAATTGTAGTAAAATTGCTCNCTCAAGAACTCAATGTAGTAAAATTGCTCAAGAACTATATGTGTAGTAAAATTGCTAAAGAACTATATGTAGTAACTTTTATTTAGTTAATTTTTTTATACCATAGAACTTTATGGGCAATATAGAAATTAGAAGTTTTAGCAAAAACAGTTGATACTAGGCCGCTTATATCATTTACATTTATACAGACTTTATTTGAGTAACTATCAAAGTATAATGGGAATTTTGGATGTTTTATTGCTGATTTATGGAATATAAATACAGTATTATGATGATTGGGTAAAAAAGTATCAACATGGGCAGGGGGGGGGGAGGGAGGGGGGAATTATTCAAAATAAATGTTTTCCTTGGTTTTTACCTTGGTAGGCAGACTGACCGCAAATGGATTTCCCATGCCAGTGAGTGCCTGTCCAGCTAGGCTTAAATAATACTGCCAGTTCTAAATATAACGTTAACATGTAGATGTAACTTTTCATCTGAACATGACTCCATGTGTACTACACTGCAATGTCGATCTGGTGAGATATCTACAGGGTGTTCCATATTATATTAGATCTCAATCGTTCTAAATTACGATTTTCGGGACTAATCAGAAAATTTAAGAAGAATGAATCATTTTGAAAAATTTAACAAGGCTAATATAAGAATTTTCTTGTGGAAAATAATAGTTTTTTTTAGTACTATGGTTTTATAATGGCGTTAAAGCTTCGAGATAATCTAATATGTTATGGGACGCTCTGTACATAACTTCATTAATTCTTAGAATCTACCTAAAAGACCTGCAAACATTTAGTCTCCCAAATGCCGATTATTTACCCGATATCTTTAACATCGGAACTATAAGTTGGATTAAATGTTTCCTGGGAGGGACTGATTCATGTGGTGTACTGTCTCGTTTTGCCTTATATAGTTTGTATGTGTATTGTACAACTTGCTCTAGCTGCCTAAAGGGACCGTTCACTTATTTTGGTAATTTAATGGTGAACTAATTAGCCTATTAGATATTCATTGGTATTAGTCTTACTTTTCAAAGATATCTATGACCAGAGAAAAAAACGATTTATCATTTAGAATTCCAGCTCAAAGGTATGATACAGGGTGTCCCAATAAACATGGGAATTCAGTGACGAATTCGATATCGTCTTGTTAAATAATTCTTTGATTTAGTATAGTGATACCTGCTGAGAAAGCTGTAATCTGAAAAAGTTTCGTCTGCTATGTTCACATTTTGTTTGTTTATGTTTTGACTGCATACGGTTGTACTTAGTAAAACAAGAAAATTGCAGTATACAAACAGAGTAAACTTGTCCGTCTTCACTGTTCATCTTGCGGAGACATTATAGACACATCTTTACAGTCTTTTACCCTTTTCATAAAATAAACTCTAGCAGACATAATAATATTACGGCTTTTGAAATTAGGTATTGCAATGCTAATTCATAACAAAGGCGATATCGAATTCGTCACTTAATTCCCATGTTTTTTGGGACACCCTGCACCTTTGTTGGACTATTGAAACATTTTTTCGTAACAACAGCCAAATAAAATCTAAAATTATCATGTGTCAACCATTAAATAATAAAAAATAAAATAAAACGTTTTTCGTGTTTAAACATTATTTACAAAATTAACACATTTTTACAAAGACGACTTTATCTCTCAGAAAAACCGGTTTCTAGATTTCAACTCTTCAAAAATCATGGGGATTACTGGGGAAGTAGTAAAAACTGTCAAAGGTTTTAAATAAGTTATATTTAAAAAATAGACAAATCAAAAACAATTTGAAAAATTAAAGATATCTAAAATTAACTATAAGATACCACCAGTTAATTTGATTTTTGAAAATTTGCAAAAATCCATGACTATGACAAAAAGCATCAATTATAGTGTAAATGCAAAGGTCGGGAATCTCAGGACGGCCATAGTTGTCTTTGAAAAGTGAGACTAATACCAATGAATAGCTAATCGGCTATTTGGTTTACCCTCACATTACCCAAATAAGTGAACGGTCCCTTTACAAGTCGACCCTATACTTGAAATGAACCAGAGTTTACAGAACCATTACATACATGGCCTACCAGTGAAATGTAGGTGTTTAGACCAGGTAGTGTGGAGAGAGCCCGTACACCTCCACCCAGCAGGGTCAACACACTCCCAGCATATATACCTTTGAATATATATTAAATATAAAAATATCCTGTGCCGGCTAGTTTAAACTTTAATGGCGTGACCAGACTTTTTACAGTACCTGGCCTATCATAGGTCTATTTGACCTACCCTACCAGCTTAGTTTGGTGTAATTTAGTGACATTTACCTCATAGAAGAAACATAAGAAACCTCAGGCTGTAACTTTTGTGTGGATATTCCTATATTGAACTCAAGATCTCGATATCCATTAAAGACACTTTTAAATTGAAAATAAATGCAGCGTATGACCATCACTAGATATCGAAGAGGAATAAAATCAATCTGTAGATCTGCATAAGTTAGAGATTCATACTTAATCCCTAGATTCACAACATGGTTCAGATTCAAGTTTGAGTAGCCCTGACCCCTATATGGATCATAAAACCATGCCATAATGGCAAATAGTAAAAATTATAATTTGAATATGAAGAATATTGGACTAAAAAGAAATAAAAACTTTTCAGACAAAGAATAGCTATCTTGTGTTTATAAAAAAAATTGAAAAACTAATACGAACCGGTTATTTACTTTAAATTCAAATTTTTTGATAAATTCAGGAAAAAAACCTGTTTTTAAACCAAATGTGTTTGTAATGTATGCAGCAACTAGACACATTGGGATTCCGACCATAAAGGAGATTGTGCCTAGCAGGTCAACTTCGTCAGCTGATAACCATCAGATAATAAATAAATTACCATGAATCAGATAATAAATAAATTACCATAAATCAAATAATGAATAAATTACTGTAGTTAACTCAGTATGTATTTAGAAAAACTTGGAAATTTATTATAATATATTTTTATATCCTTATCATATTGATATATTTTATATCCTTATCAGAATACATGTGGTATTAATATAACTTTATATAACAAAATGTCACACTAGAAAGATTATTTTAATCAATTTGAAATTTTTATTCATGTAAATATTTTTTTGCCCGTTAGGAAGAATAAAAAAGTTTTTTTTTGAAAGAACCATGCGTTAAAAAACAATGAGTTTTTATCTTTTTTTTAATTTGTTATTTAAATAAAAAAACTTGTATTTGTTACAGTGAAACCCTTAATAACGAATACATCGAAAGAATTCATCAAATGTCGTATTCATCACTTTCTGATAATGAAATGTTGCAGATATTTAGTTTTTTAATTAAATGAATATATATGGAACTCTTTAAAGCTGTTCCCGCATATTCATGGTTATTTATTCATTTTCGCAACTACTGAAATTTACGTAATATAGTATAAAACTCATTGAAAAATTGTCAAAACAACATTTGATAAATTCTTCCGATGTATTCGTTATTAAGGGTTTCACTGTACTAAAACAAACTCACCTATAACTAGAAAAAGAACCAAGAAAGGAATATTACACATCATTGTTTTTAAGATTATCAAATAATCCTGAAATTAAACGACTTTATTAAACAAAAAATGTTGTTAATTTTTGTTTTTACATCATAATTTCAATTACCAAATTTGATGAAAAACAAAACAAAAATAAACTGGTTTTTAGACTTACATAAGCTTGAGAATTGGCTTTAAAATTTGTAAACATTTTTTATGAAAAATAACTAATAGAGGGTAATGATCATTAATATTATTTTTATTATCATTTCCAAAATTCAATTTTACCTTAAATGTAGTTTTTTTCTCTGCTTCTAGTGCCAGCTTGGAACTATTATTAATTAATTATAAAAAAATTGATTTACTGATGCAGCATTGCGCTAGGGAGGGACCCACCGGCCGCCATGAGAATTAAGAAAACAAATTCTGAAATGAATTTGATTTGATCGGTTAAAATTCATTTATTTAGTTAATTTATAAAACAATAATTTTGCATTCCAAGATTTTTTCTAAACATAAACAATTTTTCAAAAAAAAGGTTAAATGCTTAAATGAAAGATTTAACAAATCAAATCGAATTCACTTTCTAATTTGTTTTCTAGCTTCCTTTTTGGGTAAAATTTTGATTTAAAGTTTTAGTTTAAGAGTTAATCTGCAGATTAACTGTTGAAGCAAATCTTTAAAAAATGTTGTTGTTGATCCGTCTTTAATCTTTTCTTTTTATTAAAGGAATTGAGTTTTTGTCACAAACTAAAATATGATAATCCTTAAATCTTAGCAATTTGACTTCGCAAACCTTGGCCATCTTAAATTTACATTATTTGATCTTACAAAATGTATATTTTAAAATATCAAAAGTCTAAATTGGGTTACAAAGATATGGCGATAAAAATAGAAGATTTGAGTTTGTAGCAAATATTTATGTTGAGCTTGTATTGTATGTTGAATTTTAGTCAAGCATAATATTGAATATTTGATTTTATATTCAGCAGCACAGTTATTGTCTTTCTGTTAATATTACAGTGTCAATAAGGCTAAAACATTTAAAAAATTTCAAGAAACAAATATCTAAGATTTCTATATTTTCTTGCTCAAAAAAAATTTTATTGTTTTTTCTAAAAATTAGCAAAATGTTTCTGTACTGTTTAAACATAAATAGTTTTAATTTAATAAAAAAATATGAAAATATGTTGGCATGTTTTAAAAAAGAATTATTTATACAATTTTAACTGGATAAACGAAATAGGTTAAAGTGATGCAACATTACTGATACGACTTTGTGACCTCGTAGCTCCTTTTTTAGATTTTAAGCATAAGTTTGAGAAAAATAAATTTGTAAATTAAATACATGTGTGCACCTCTCAAATCTCAATTATAGTTCTTCAATAATTGGAGATTAAATTATTACTTATAGTTACTCCAGCCGTTTACCAGCGCTTGGTTTAAATTATGTTTTAGATGAAGTACTCGGCGTTTAACGAAGAGCTTTATTATTTTAGATTAATCAATTGATTGAAACATTTAAGATTTTAAATCTACGTCAATTTTACTTTATTCAAACATGACAATCTTAATTTGTAATTTAATGCACGTAGGCCATTCACAGATTCATCCTTCGAGCATCTATACATGAAAACTGAAACTCTAGCGCTACATATTTAACGCTATGGGCTAAAAAATAAATTTGTAAAGGTGTAAATTTAATTATAACAATTCCTAAGGCAGGCAGGAGTAGGAGGATTAGAGCTTGTAACAGCAAAAACGACCAAAATCTAGGTAAATCGAGATATAAGCTTGTAAATTAGTAATCCTCACAGAAAGTAATAATCCGTATATTTTGTGGTCCGATGGGATTAATGAAATTCTTTTAGATATCTCTGAAAGTTACAAAACACAAGTTAGCAATTGGTTTTAAAGGGAGTGATCGGCAATTTATGGTAGTTGAACTGAGATTGCAGTATTGCAGAGAAATTATTTAGCATTCATTTGAGACATGTAACACGTTTTAAAGATCTATAATTACTTAGTTTGAACTCAAAGTCGACGTTCAAAATCATCAATATGGGTGGTACCATACATCTTCTTAACCATAAATTGTGATAAATCTGATAATGAATAAATTATCATATATCAGATAATGAATAAATTATAAATAATCAAATAATAAATAAATTACCATGAATCAGATAATGAATAAATTACCATGAATCAGATAATGAATAAATTACCATGAATCAGATAATAAATAAATGACCATGAAACAGATAATTAATAAATTACTATGAATCAGATAATGAATAAATTACCATGAATATGATAATGAATAAATTACCATGAATCAGATAACGAATAAATTACCATTAATCAGATATTAAATAAATTACCATGAATCAGATAATAAATAAATTACCATAAATCAAATAATAAATAGATTACCATGAATCAGATAATGAATAAATTACCATGAATCAGATAATGAATAAATTACCATGAATCAGACAATGAATAAATTACCATGAATCAGATAATAAATAAATTACCATGAATCAGATAAT